AATTAATACCTCGTCAACCGGATAATTAAATTTTACAGTTCCACCACAAATAGCTCCTATTAGTTTTGGAGATGAAGTAGCTAATTGGGGCGAACAAGTAACATCTGTGTGCAGTGTCTTGAAAGGGGATGAGCCAGTTGAGATCGAATGGACTCTGAATGGCAAAAAAATTACACCCGAGTCGCATCCAGGAATTATTGTTTCGAAAACTGGGAAAAAGTTATCGGTACTCAATATCGATTCGGTGACTGCCCATCACGATGGCACTTACATATGTCGGGCGACCAATTCTGCAGGTTTTTCCGATAGAAGTGCAATCCTATCAGTCAATGGTATTGAAATAATTGACAAATTTTCGATATTTGCTCGATAACCGTTTTGTCACACCTAAAGTTTTCCAAACCACAATTCGATGTTTATTTCTATAAATTCTTACCGATCCTTAATTTAAATACTGTATATAATTCGATTGTAATTATTTGTGTGTGCGTGAATCTCATTAATCGTGGGAAAAACAGTTATATTTGTAATCACTTGTACTACACCAATTTTACTTTTAACAAGAATAGAGTCACAGACACGTAGCATCTCATAACGCTGGCTCAACGACTTAATTAGTTGTTTCGGATGTCTATGGTACCTTTGAGTGACTGAATAACTCAGTTTTAGCTTTTTCACGTAACCTATTGCCATTTTTCTACGTACTCACTGTTCCTTTTCATCCAACAAACTGTACGCCGTAGAAATATTGTTAAATGACTATACGAACATCGTAATAATTGGAAATAGATATTAAAGTAAACATAAAGACCATTAGAGATGAAAAAATTAATGTACTTTAAAAAGAAATATACGGAACTAAATGAATCTGAGTCATTTATAGCAAACAATGTTTTTAATTCATTAGGTAAAAATTATACTATCAGAATGATAGGTGTGTTTATTACCTCCTTTTAACTTTTTCCTTCTACGTATTCATGCAATGCATAATATCATAATATATGCGTAACAATTTTTCCCTCCAGTATCTTGGAGCTTTCACAGATGTTGCTTTATTCACACTTTACGCAAGGTATCTTGCAAATTATATTACGGCACTTTAGTAACTTGTTGATTCTCGTAATTGGCGTACCATAATGAGTCAATACACGGTCTTTCGACTTCTTAAAAGCTGACAATGCTGATATGGTAATATTATAGTTAAAGAAAATGCTGGAACGTCTTATTCATCATTTAAAAGTGACAAAAGCACTTGATTTTCATTAATCATTGAACTCATACAGTGCGAGGCTCGTATTCTAAAGTTGGAAGTCACGGACCCCCCCCCCTTTTCACACTGGGAAATAAGTGAATATTCCCTATTCTCTTAGCCAAAATTGTTTCAACTTTGCAAATGGCGTAAATTTTCACAATTTTAAATGATAAACGTGAAAGCGTTAAAAAATAATACTCTTGTTTTTTTTTTCTTTCCCAGTCGCCCCTCAAATAGGCATGTTCTCGTTTGGCAGCGAGCCGCTCAATGCCGGTGATACAGCTTCTTTGACGTGCATAGTGCAAGGAGATTTACCCCTAGATATCATTTGGATGTTTAACAATGAGCCGATAGATGCTTTGCAGTCTGATAAAATTGTAAGCGAAACGGGTAAACGCACGAAACAATTGACGATCGAGTCGGTCGGCGCGAGACACGTAGGTGAATATATTTGTGCAGCTTCTAACGTTGCAGGATCGACGACTAGATCGGCAACCTTGTCCGTTAACGGTATGGTTCTCAATCGAAAGTAATGAAATTTAATCTTTTTCTTGTATTTTTTGGATGGTTTAATTTTTAAAATTATTTTTTATTGTTTTTTTTTTTTCATACATTTTTTTTTTTTTATGTATCATTAGCTGCAGCTAGTTTGTTTGGATCAGAAACTCCTAACTTGTCACAATTTTTATCCACGAATGTATTTCTGTGTACCTATGCAATGGAGATTGAGAGCCGATGGAGTACCTCTTTTGAACCACCAACTCCTTGTATATTCGACTACAATTGTTTCATTATAATATATGCATATAAATCACTCTGACAACAACAAATTACCCAACGGAGTGAATAGTATTAATATTTTGGAGATGTGCAACAAAAAATAAATGTAGGTAAAGAAGTTATATCTGAAAAACAAAATATCATTTCATTCTAAATAACTCATTGAATTAGAAATCTGTATAAAAACTTTGAAGCGTCAATAATAAAATTACTAATATTTACTGATTTTACGAAAAATCAAAAATTGATGCTTTTTCAAGATATCCATTATAATTTCTTTATGGCGTTGATAATATATGGAGGAATCGTAAAAAAGAAATATCAGAAAAAAGAAACAATTTATAAACAACTGTTGACAGAAACGGATGAAAGGTTACTAGGAAGGCTGAGGAAGAAAATACTTTAATTAATCAGGGTCCTTAAAATATATTTATACATTTAGGTATAAATTAATACTTACAACTCCCTGGCTCCATTTAAGCTAAGTTTGTCTACTGATCATCCTCATAAACAGTGTGTTAAAAGGTATGATAAAAAGGGTATAAACTGAAAAAATCAATTTTTTGTAAACCAATTACTTATCTGTGACAACAGATTAATCAACTAAAAGTAATAATAACAAATATTTACGAGTAACAAATTTTAATGATAGGTAAAGTAAAAAATTAACACGATGCACAATGTTTCTACCAGTCGCTCCGCAAATCGGCATGGGTTTTACCTTTGGTGAAGAGCCACTGAACGCATTCGAGATGGCGACAATCACTTGCGCAGTCATCATAGGAGACCCGCCGATCGAAATCGATCTCATGTTCAACGGAGCTCCTATAGCCTTGCCGGGGGTTACCGTGACAAATTCGGGAAAACGCGCCAAACAGTTGATCATAGAGGCCGTCGAAGCCAAACACGCAGGAGAGTACACGTGCGTTGTCGGTAACGGCGTGAGCTCAACATCTCGCTCGACCACATTGGCGGTCAATGGTACCTGCAACATACAGTAGTACTTAAAGCAATAAATTTCGATGATTTTTACATCTTGTGTACTCATTCTGTGTTTTGAGACTCGCTTGGCTTTTTTACAGGATACTTACTTTTTCAAACCCCACTTCCGAAAGTACACACTTCAACACAACCAAAAAAACCAGCATGTAAAGTCTTAATGTTATTATGTTTTGGTTTTATATACGAATAGGAAAACGAGGGGACATAGCCACGATAGCTCGACTTGACAACAATTGCCGATTTATTTAATTTTATTTAATTTACTACCACATTGTTGGACCTATGAGATAGAAATACCCTCAATATCTGCTTTAAATGTAAATCAGTGAACCTAAAATTGACAAAGAATCATTCAACTTTACAGTTCCGCCGCAAATAGCTCCTTTTAGTTTTGGAGAAGTAGCCAATTGGGGCGAACAAGTATCGTCCATGTGCAGTGTTCTAAAAGGCGATGAGCCAGTTGAGATCGAATGGACTCTGAATGGCAAAAAAATTACACCCGAGTCGCATCCAGGAATTATTGTTTCGAAAACTGGGAAAAAGTTATCGGTACTCAATATCGATTCGGTGACTGCCCATCACGATGGCACTTACATATGTCGGGCGACCAATTCTGCAGGTTTTTCCGATAGAAGTGCAATCCTATCAGTCAATGGTATTGAAATAATTGACAAATTTTCGATATTTGCTCGATAACCGTTTTGTCACACCTTAAGTTTTCCAAACCACAATTACAATCCGATGTTTGTTTCTATCAATTCTCACTCATTCCTGATTAAAATACTGTGTATTAATTATTTATTTGTGTGCACTAAAAACGTCTTAACCTTGAGTAAAAAAATTTATGTTTGTGAACACTTGTACTACACTAATTTTACCTCTACCATGTAACAGTTGTAACACATGAAAATTAATTATAATCTGTTTCTTTACAATATCTCTTTTTTTGATCTCCCATTCGTGTAAAATTTTGTTGCCGAGTTAGGCCTCCGTAAATAGTAAGGTTACTTCAAAAATTCAGGAAAATTAATTAAATTAAGCTTACATATCTCATTTCTAAGTGAAACTAGGTTTGTAGATAAAATATTTATAAATGAAATACTAGACAACTTATCAAACGTCGTATCTCATACCAGTATTAATATCTAAAAAAAAAAAATTTTAACTTTTCCAACAACAGTTGCCCCACAAATTGGTGCTTTTACCTTCGGCGACGAGCCTCTAAACGCCTACGATATCGCCTCGGTAACGTGCGCAATCATCAAAGGCGATCTACCCATGACCATCAATTGGCTGTTCCAAAACGAACCGATTGACGAAAAACGCACTGACCTTGTCATATCGAATCTTGGAAAACGTGGAAAACAATTGAGCATCGAATCCGTTGGAGCAGCCCATTCGGGGGTGTACACGTGCCAAGCGGAAAATATCGCGGGCTCGACGACTCGCTCGGCTGTCTTGAACGTCAATGGTACCTCTGAGTGATCGAATGATGACCCAATTGTATAGCTTGTCCGTGTTATTTGTTGCCATTTTTAAATCCTTACTCCTAAAAAACCATTTGCCAATGAAATCCTGTTAGATGTGAACACCACACGAGGAATAAGTTCATCATTTTTTGTACTGTCCAAATTGTAGGATATCGCTATTTCTAGTTCTAGAAGACATGAATAGATGTATTTTTGTAATTCTTCATCCGCTCAAATTCCTTGGGCCACAAAGCACTAGTTGCATCTGTTCGCTGTATCGATCGATACTTTTTCAATTTAGGTACTGTTGCATCGAACAAACTTTATAATTTTGATTCTCGATTGTACAGTTTCACATTCTTTTTGGTTCGTGGCATCGCATCAGTAATCTTAACGCAGTATGACATTAGGATCTCGCCCTAAGATTTAAATACGTGGGGTGCGAAAGACAAGGGAAAAAAAAAGAAAACACCTGATTGTCTTGTATTATTTTTCAGTTCCGCCGAAATTACTGCCATTTTCGTTGGGTGACGGGCCGCTTAATTCGAATCAGGTAATAACTGTGCCTTGCGCCGTAATCGAAGGGGATCAGCCATTGTTGCTCAAATGGACCTTTAACGGCCACTCGATATCCCCGCACTCCGGTATATCGGTACTGGATCTTGGCGAACGCGGTGCCATATTGAGCATTGGATCGGTCCAAGCCTCGCACGCCGGCACCTATACGTGTACCGTTTCAAATCCTGGAGGAAAACAACAATTGTCGGCCGAGCTTATCGTTAACGGTGTTTATCATTATCAACATTATGCTTTTTCTTAAAGTATACATACATACTTTATTTTCATTTCTCACGTCCGTTTCACGCATGTGTAATAACTGTGCCAGATGAACAATATCACCTATGTTGTTATTATTATTTATATATAATTTTTTTTTATCCGTAATTTGGAATACTTAGCCAACACTGCATGATACTATATAGGTACGAACGTATATTTCATCGTAGAAATGATACCGATCTTCCGTCTTATAGGCCGATTTTTAATTATTTCTTTGTGACTCCACTCGGTTGAAAAAAAGAAAATTGCGACAACCAAGACAGCCATAGGAAAAAAAAGGATCTAGGATGTGATTCTTAATAAACACGCGGTAACTCTCGGGAGCGAAAAAAAAAAAATTGTCGATACGCGCGTTATCTTTTGTTGCCTTGCAGTCGTACCGCAACTACAGCCGTTTGCCTTCCACGAAAACGGTGTCGACGAGCAAAGCCTAATAATAGTTCACTGCGCCGTGATAAAGGGCGACGCGCCCTCGGCGCCCCTCAAGTGGTACTTCAATGGGCATCACATTGAAGTCGACGATCAAGTACAAATAACCAATATGGGAGATCGTGTGTCGGCGCTCACGATACCAGCCGTGAAGGGCGAACACGCCGGGGAGTACGCGTGCGTTGCTACCTGCCCACCGTGCCCCGCTGGTCACGTCAGGCATAGCGCCTATCTCAAAGTCAACGGTACCTACATATGTGCACTCGAATACAGAAATATACTCACACTTTTTTCATTACAAATCTACGTAGACATGTATAATATACCAAATTCAGTGACTTTCTTCGATTGATTCTATACTCTGTTATTATAGTTCAGTGCATCATCGTTTACCACTTCTGTTATTGTCAATATCTATTTTTGTTGTTATATATTAATTTCAAGCTTCGTATTTGTATGCGTATATACTTATTGCTATTATTATTGTTTTACAACAGTGGGTAGTTTTTTCCAGTAAATCTTAAAAATTCAATACACGATTTAAAAATAATGTGTATCATGTAGAATTATGGTTTTTTTTTCTTTTATTTTTCTTTAAACCAGTGTCCACGTGCTGTATAACACAGTCTTTCCAAAATTAGTCAGTGTCTATATTATTTCCCTTGACAATCTTCTCATATTTTTTGCAATAGAGAAGATTTTTAGTGACTCATTCACATTGAAATCGTATGGTACGAGCGTGACGTAAAGATGGATAGACCGCAAATAACAAAGCAATAAAATCGAAAACCACATAAGGTACAGCTGAACGTGAGAAAAGAAAAGTAAATAATTGAAGGCAAATGGGGGAAAAAAAAGATATGAAAAAAAAAAAAAAAAATTGTCGAGGGATTCAGGTGGATTGGATTATTTGCAGTTCACCCACGCATCACTCCGTTCGATTTTGGGGATCAGGAAATATACGCCGGTCAAACGGCACAGTTAACGTGTATGGTGCTGGTCGGGGACACAGCTGGTCTCGAGATCAACTGGGCGTACGGGGGCAAGACGTTATCCCCGACTTCGTCCATCGGCTACAGAATCAGCCAAGTAGGGCCGCGCTCGAGCATACTGCTCATCGATCCAGTAGAGCCTTATCACGGCGGCAATTACACGTGTTACGCGGTTAATCACTGCTGCAACGACACCCACCACGCCACCTTACGAGTTTACGGTTAGGTTGTGGTTGGCTATTGTCTGTCTCTGTATGCGTATATTATACCTACTCGCAAGGTTCTTTGGTTTTCATTATCCAGCATAATATCATTATCATTATTATTATCATTATTTATTATTATTATTATTTTAATTACTATATGGTCGCTCGATCCTTTTATTATTATTATTATTATCATCAGTATTTTGCTTTCTATTTTTTTTTTCTTTCTTTTGTACATAATATATATATACCGCCGTATTCGGTTGAACTCATTTTTATACATTATTATAATATATAAATGCTTACTTGACAAATGAATGACGATTGCATCACGTTGTACTCGTTTTACTTGGATGCCGCTTACGATACTTCACTTTATTATTTTTGCCATCACCACGTCTTATCTTCTTCTGATTCTCTTTCTCTTCTACACTTTCGACTTTTCGCAGTTTAATTGTATGTATATATTAAACAAGATTACGAAGAATGTCATTTTATTTTAATATTCGTATGAGTCGTCATTTAAAAATATACAGCATTTAGCAACATGAAACCAATGGGTTCGTAATATAAAAAAAAAAAAAAAAAGGGGTGTGAAAAAAAAAAAAAAAAAAAAAAAAAAAAAAAAAAAAAAAAAAATATGACCGCTATGTATATGATTGCGTATACGTTAAAGAAAGAAAAAAAACTGGTGCCTGAAAACTCACTTGACGCTTCTTCAATACATGTAGACACACATAGAAAAAGTATAATACACACGAATAACATTGTAAAAATGTACATCTCGATGCTTTCATTGTCTTATGTTTATTTCTCATACGTTCAGCTATTGTCATTATTATTGTTATTGTTACTATCATCCCCATGCGTGCCGATTCTTTGCAACATTATGGTAGATACAATATATTATTATGCCGTCCTAAAGATCTCGCATTGTGCATAATGAACATGCGACAGCATTCGCCAGCTATAAGTAGTAGCTTATACAACTACGTATGTACTTACCCTATACATATATGTACCGATCATGCAAGATTCCATTTGTCGTCGTATGTACACAAACCTGTTGCAAAACATAAATCATGTGAAAAATAAAAAAATTTTTTTAAATCGGTTAATGTCTTTGTCACCTCCTACTGATAATGACATTGATGATGACCAAATAGTGCGTTCACTTCTTTCTCCTTTGAAACTTTCGCTCATCGAAATCCAGATGAGAGCAGTATAATGTGTTACATGATACGAGTTGAGCTTAATTCCATTCCATCCGAAATCAAAAGTATTCTTCAGCCAAAAAAAAGTTGTCAGTACAAGTGAAATGAGAACTGTGTTTTAAACTAAAAAAAAAAAAAAAAAAAAAAAAAAAAAAAGCAAAAGATATAATAATTTGTTGGGCTTAAAAAAAAGCGCGGAGTCGATTCACATTGAAGCAGTATTCCTTCCTCTCTCTCTCTCCGTCCTCTCTCGTACCGATTCCCGAGATGATTAGAAGATCCAAATCCCAGAGTTCCCGTCGTTTTGTTTTTCTTATTTTTGTCCACGTCCCGCATGTCGAAATATATCGTTGCTTTTCACTTTTTTTACTGCGGCCTATGATTAATACAAGCATGCTGCCGCTTCGAGGTTGTCATAACTGATGTGCATGCGTGCTATATGCCATGTCAAGCCATGCGAGTCACTCTCTCTCTCTCTCTCTTTTTCACTTTTCTAGTCTCTGTGGGTGTTTTTGGCTTTTCTAGTGCATCAGGCTTTAGACGGGTGACGTTTGATCAACCAATTCTTAACAATGGTTGCGCTGTCTAAAGTCTGTACTGCGTCTGCTTTTACGAGAGAGTCAATTGTTCTTTTCTTCCAAAAGGCATGCGACAAAATAAAGCTTGTACGAATGGTCTGTTTCTTTGGAAATACGATAACGCAAGCGATTGTCCGTCGAGTGAAATTAACAGCAACCTCGTTCATCAAATGGTGCATGACATCGCACCGAACTGCAGACGCTTCGTACATACTTGCACAACTAAATCGCCGAGGGAAAATTATTACTGTTTAATGTTTGGTTGAACGGTATTTGTCAACTGTGCTTAGAAAAAATAAAACAGTCAAAGTAGTAATTTTCGCTCGAAGAGCATCATCGAAATTGACTTGAAACTGATAAGCTGGAATGATGCGAATACTAACGGTACCATTTATCCGAGGGGCTAAGAACTCTTGAAAATATTTCAAGAATTACTTTCGCAACTGTAAAAACGTCGTCCAAAAGAAGAAGTATTGGTTTTTTAAGCAATCACGATAACTTCATAACCGTTTGATGAAAACGAACGTAAATTTTTAATTTTTAAAAAGTCATTTGAACAGTATTTGTATAATTTTTTCAAAATACAGTTTTGCTTTGGATATTGTTGAAGTATTGCAAATTGTCCGTAATAACAACCAATTCTATGCGAAAACCTCAAAGTTCTTGGCCTCCTCGAATTGGCTCTCTTGCAAAACGACGCATGTAGTATCGCTAAACCAATTAGTTAAAAAAAACCCGGTCTATTTACTAACTTTCATCTGTCTCGTGTGGCCGCAGTACCCCCACGTTGGATACTCGAACCTACCGACAAAGCTTTCGCCCAAGGCTCGGACGCGCGCGTCGAGTGCAAGGCCGACGGCTTCCCCAAGCCTCAAGTCACCTGGAAAAAGGCCGCCGGTGAGTACACGTTCTTACACTTACCGAACTTTGGTTGAAAATCGGTAGGTAAACCGATAACGATTTATCTTTGTAGGGGACACTCCCGGGGATTACACGGACCTGAAGCTCAACAATCCCGACATCAACGTTGAGGACGGCACCCTCATGATCAACAACATCCAAAAGACGAACGAAGGCTACTACCTGTGCGAGGCCGTCAACGGGATCGGCTCGGGCCTGTCCGCCGTCATACTGATATCTGTCCAAGGTATGCATATAGCAACAAATGTTAACTATGAAACGGAATAAAGAGTCGAAGAGAAAGGAAAATTCTAAAAACCAAACCGATTCAGCTCCACCGCACTTTGACATAAAACTGCGCAACCAGACGGCTCGTCGCGGCGAGCCGGCGGTACTGCAGTGCGAGGCCCAGGGCGAGAAGCCGATCGGCATACTGTGGAACATGAACAACAAGAGACTCGACCCGAAGAGCGACTCTCGTTACACCATAAGGGAGGAAATAATGGCCAACGGCGTTCTGTCGGACCTCAGCATCAAACGGACCGAAAGAAGCGACTCGGCTCTGTTCACCTGCGTCGCGACCAACGCCTTCGGCAGCGACGACACGAGCATCAACATGATCATCCAAGGTTTGTTACTAAGAATCCCTTTTCCCCTCGACATTATCTAAACGTCACAATTGACGATTCGCAGAGGTGCCGGAGGTCCCGTACGGCCTGAAAGTGCTGGACAAGTCCGGGCGATCGGTACAACTGTCGTGGGCAGCCCCGTACGACGGCAACAGCCCGATCAAGCGCTACATGATCGAGTACAAGATAAGCAAGGGCTCGTGGGAGACGGACATCGACAGAGTCGTCGTGCCTGGCTCCCAGCAGAACGTCGCCGGGGTGTTCAACCTCAAGCCCGCGACGACCTACCACCTGAGGATCGTCGCCGAAAACGAGATCGGCACCTCCGAGCCCTCGGACACGGTCACCATCATCACCGCCGAGGAAGCCCCCTCGGGCCCCCCTAGCTCCGTCAGGGTCGACGCGCTCGACCAGCACACTCTCAAGGTACCATTTGAATCACCCTTCCTTTTTCTGTTTCATCAACTATATGTATAGTATATAGCTGTAACCCAACTTTGTTGTTATTTCGTGCAGGTGTCGTGGAAGCCACCGCCACGGGACGACTGGAACGGGGAGATTCTGGGGTACTACGTGGGCTACAGGCTGGCCTCCTCCGACAAGCCGTACATGTTCGAGACGGTCGAGTTCTCGAAGGAGGACGGCAAAGAGCACCACCTGCAGATCATGAACCTCAAGACGTACACCCAGTACAGCGTGGTCGTGCAGGCGTTCAACAAGGTGGGCTCGGGCCCGATGACTGAGGAGCGCAGGCAGCACACGGCCGAGGGTGTGCCCGAGCAGCCGCCCCACGATACCACCTGCACGACCCTCACCTCCCAGACGATTCGCGTGTCTTGGTCGTCGCCTCCGTTGGCCGCCGCCAATGGTGTCATTACCGGCTACAAGGTGAGACGCAACATATCACATTGCATAATAAGCTTTTGAACTGGTTGAAGCTGTATACTTTTTTTTTCCTCGTCATCCCGTGCAGATAATCTACGGGCCCTCCGAGTCCTGGCACGACGAGAACACCAAGGACACGAAAATCACTTCGTCGAGCGAGACCATTCTCCACGGCTTGAAGAAGTTTACCAACTACAGCATGCAGATCCTTGCTTTCACCTCGGGCGGCGATGGTGTCAAGTCCGCCCCCATCCACTGCCAAACCGAACAAGACGGTGAGGCTTGAGCTCTTTTTTTCCCCCCCTCTTTTTTTACTTGTTAATGATTGAACATTTCTTTTTTTTTTTTCTTTTTTTTTTTTTTTTTCATACAGCTCCCGAAGCTCCGACGGCCATAAAAGCCTTGGTCATGTCTGCCGATTCGATCCTGGTGTCTTGGCGTCCGCCCTCCCAGCCGAACGGTGTCATCTCTCAGTACATCGTTTACACGAAAGCCAACAACACGGAGCAACCTACCAGCCAAAAGGTCCCCCCGAACCAGTTGACCCACGAGATTTCGGGCCTCGATGAGAAACGCCGCTACGACTTTTGGGTCACGGCCAGCACGAACATTGGCGAAGGCCAGCTTTCCAAGATCGTGAATCTCGCACCGAGCGCCAGTGGTACGTGGGAATAAATCATCACACCTTCGACGTGACCCTACCAATGGAAAGCCGGAAGCGCGATGTATTCACAAACTCTTTTTTTATATTTTCAAGTACCGGCGAAAATCGCATCCTTCGACGACAAATTCGTCGCAACGTACAAGGAGGACGTGAAATTGCCGTGCCTCGCGGTGGGCGTTCCCGCACCGGAGGTCACCTGGAAGGTACGTGGCGTCAAACTCGCGCCCACCGACAGACTGCGACAACTACCCGAGGGCTCGCTCTTCATCAAAGAGGTCGATCGCACCGACGCCGGGGAGTACTCGTGCTACGTCGAGAACACCTTCGGACACGACACCGTCACCCACCAGCTCGTTGTACACGGTAATTTTCCATTCGAGAGCCAAAAACAACACACACCATATGGTCATGAAATCATATGTGTAACGTCCCAATTGCAGCTCCACCGCACTCGCCCCAAGTGACGCTCACCGCCACGACCACGAACTCCATAACGATGAAACTGCGTCCGCATCCCAACGACAACGCGCCGATTCACGGCTACACGATTCACTACAAACCGGAATTTGGGGACTGGGAGACCGTGCAAATAAGCTCGATAGCCCTCAAGTACACTTTGGAGAACCTATGGTGCGGATCCCGCTACCAGATCTACGTTACCGCTTACAACGCGTGAGTACGCCCCGAAAAATTTACATTGGACGCGTGATGAGGAAAAAAAAAAAAAAAAAAACAAAAAAACTTTTACCATGGTTTGACGTATAGGATCGGCATGGGCGAGCCCTCCGATATACTAAACACCCGGACAAAGGGCTCGAAACCCATAATACCCGAGGCCTCGAGGTTCATCGAGGTGTCGACCAAGAGCATAACCCTGCACCTCCACGCTTGGTCCGACGGTGGCTGTCCCATGCTCTACTTTGTCGTCGAGCACAAAAAAAAGTACGTTCAATCACAATTTTTCACAACATGTATATATATACGTTTGTAAAGCCATGTTAACTATATGTATGGGCACGTGTCTCCCTTAGGCACCAGCAAGAGTGGAACCAGGTGTCGAACAACGTCAAGCCCGGCGGTAACTTTGTCGTGATGGACCTCGACCCGGCCAGTTGGTATCACCTTCGGGTGACCGCGCACAACAACGCGGGCTTCGCCGTCGCCGAGTACGAGTTTGCCACCCTCACCATAACCGGAAGTAAGTCACACACGAGACTGACGTGGGGACAGTTGTATATGTAAGAGGGAGAGCTTTTGTGCGTGGCCGGCGTCAATGGTGGCAATAAATGTCTAACGCAATGACGTCGGGATTGAGAGAAAAAAAAAAAAAAAAAAAAAACTGAGGGTTGGTTTTGGTTTTAGGCACCATTGCGCCGGCCCGCGAGCTCCCGGACGTAAACGGCGGGGACAGCAGTGGCGACGATCCCATGAGAATATTCATGGCCAACCTGAATCTGGTGGTGCCCGTCGTCGCGGCCGTGCTCGTCATTATCGTGGCGGTCATCGTGATCTGCGTCCTCAAGGGCAAGGATCACGACGACGAGAAAGGTGGGTCGGATTCACTAATCACCTTTCCTCGTTTGTATGTTTGCTGTTGCCCCTGTCGCGCGATCGTCACAATGTAGGCACGATCGCCCCGCCCATACTGAGCGGTGCTACCGGGGACACGGAAAAGGACTTTAACCACGACACCGACGTGAGGAGGCTGTTCCCTTGGCTGCCGCTTTGGCTGGACATCAACGTGATCGTGCCCGTCGGGGCAACCGTAGTCGTCATCATCGTCGGCATCGTCGTCATTTGCGTCGCTCTGTCCAGGAAGGGCGGCGGCCCCGAGCAGACTCGGCTGCGCGGCATCTCCTCGTCCGACGAGAAATATTACGAGGGCCAATGTAAACCGCACGCATTGACTCCCCCCCCCCCTTTCCTCCTCATCTTTCGCACTGTTATTCTTGTTGTAACTTTTTTTTTTTTTTCTTCTTTTCTTTTTCCAATGTATTTACCGCATTGCGATGGTTCAATGTGTTTGTAGACGACGTGGTGTATCAACAAACCGGAGTGGTCGGGGCTACCCTGGACAAGAGAAGACCGGACCTACGGGATGAGTTGGGCTACATCGCGCCGCCTAATCGCAAACTGCCACCCGTGCCCGGATCGAATTACAACACCTGCGACCGCATCAAACGCGGAACGGTCATAAGTAAGTTCGACGCTTTGTTGTAGCAATGATCATCGGATAGAAAAAAAAAAAATAATAATAACAACGGATACGTACGTAAACTGCAATTATCACATATCTTGGCATGATATTCACTTTTATAGACTCTGTAGTCCTCCCCCACCTACCGATCTACGCTAGACTGACTGCAATACACATATTATACAACAAAACAATTCTACCCAAGTTGCTATATTGTTTTTTTCACTGTTTCTTTGCGTATGTCTATATGTTGCGAACAATATTTTTTGCTCCCTCCCATCAACCAAATACATTCAGATTCATTTTAGTACAATTCATTGTCTTGTAAAAAAAAAAAAATCAAAATTTTGACTCGCATTATCATCACCATAAATACACAACACGATGGGACAGCATGCGTTTTCATACTTTATACCTATGTTACGATCCCTAAATGTCACGTGGTCAAGTACATTTTTTTTTTTCTTTTTTTTTTCCAATCAATTAAAAAAAGTCGCACATCCACCCGACGTTACATTGCCTACAGATACACGTGCTGTGTGCATAGTGCTGTGTAAAATAAAGAACATCAGCCAGCAACTATGAGCAGCGTGGACCCTAAGTAGGTATGATAAAATAATATTTACCAGTAGAGACGCGTTATGAATCGGCAAGTGCATACATGTACATATATAAGACGGGCACTTTGGGTAAACCGAGAGAGGGAGAGAAGCAGACAGCAGGCAAGAAAAACGTAGAACTATTTGGCTGTAGCTTGTCTTTAATAAAAAAAAAAAAAAAAAACAGCTAGAAACGGCTCGGTACGGAGCTACCACGCCACCTGGGACCCGAGGCGACACATGTACGAGGAGTTGAGTCACTACGCGCCAACAAGGAGATGCCCGCCGCCTCCACCCCACGCCAGCAGTGAGCAGTTGGCCCACAGAGGTTTGTCACTTGTACCCTTGTCTTTTTTTTTTAAATCTTTTTCTTCTTCTTCTTCTTCGTCCCTCTACCAAAAGAGACCACGGCGGAACTACCACTAGCTTATTGTGTGTGCGTACGATACTAACAATCGGCAACGGCAACGCTCGATCTGCATCTGTCAGAGCAATATAATAAGTAAGAACCGGATCTATTTTTTTTCCCCACCCCCCTTCCCCACGTTATTTTTCACTCCGCCAATCGCACCCGACCCCATTATATACGTTTCAAACAAAATGTACATGATATACACATGACATGTATGTACGTAGTGATTTGTGTGATGCATGACAATGTCCCGCTCGCTTGTCGCTTGGTCTCCCTGTACGTCACTTCATCTTTATTCTTTTTTTTTTTTTTTTTTTTCTATCATCACACACGATTTTTCTTACCGATCTTTTTTTCATATAATCATATGTATACATCGAGGTGTACACCAGTTGGTGGACCAAAACGTATCGACTCGGCGATTATAACTGTAATGCGGTCTCGTGGGAAAGATCACGAGAGAGTACATACGAAACAGTTAAAAAAATTTGCAATTTTACGGTAAAACTCTGCCGCTCTGTACACAGGCATGGAGGACGAGATCTGTCCGTACGCGACGTTCCACTTGTTGGGCTTCCGCGAGGAGATGGACCCCAGCAAGGCGATGCAGTTCCAAACGTTCCCCCATCCAGTGAACGGCCACTCGGGCACGATGGGTCCCACGGTCGGGCACCCAGCCAACTCCTCGGCCCACAGCCGCTCCGGCTCCCAATCGATGGTAACCACAAGCACTAACACCACCCCGTAGGCTCAAGTATCTTTTTTTTTATTTATACCCTCCCGAAATTTCGTCCCACAGCCAAGACAGAACGGTACGCGGTACTCGCGCGTGCCCTCCCAGGGCGGGAACACCAATATCTTTACGCCCGAGTACGACGACCCGGCAAACTGCGGTGGCCCGGACGAGGACCAGTACGGGTCGCAGTACGGGCAGTACGGGGCGCCCTACGATCACTACGGCTCGCGTGGCTCGGTAGGGCGTAGGTCCGTGGGCTCGCTGCGCAACCTGCCCGTGTCCAACTCGCCCGAGCCGCCACCCCCACCGCCCAGGAACCACGACCAGAGCAACTCGAGCTTCAACGACAGCAAGGAGAGCACCGACATCAACGACCAGGACGACCGCGACCAACTCATACGCAATTACTCCGGTTAGTCTCAGTCCTCCCACGAAAACATCCTCATGACCATATTTTATATGTCCTATGAAATACGTACCGGTTTGTTGCCAACTTCTCGATCTACAGCTATCCAAAGATGATGGTTTTTTAGAGTAGAACCATTCTCCCCCCCCCCCCATCGTAGTAGATTAATCGATGTTATTCGAGAATCTATAGATGAACAGTATTACATTTAGATGCGAAGAGTATTTTTATTCTGAGAAATAAGTTGAAAATAGTGTAATTGCACATTTTTTTTTTTTTTTAAGGCGTTTCTACCTTTTTCCTCTATTATTTCCCCACATCTTTAGAAGAAACGTTGAAATATGTGTTTGCACGAAATTATACGCTTAAATGAGCACTACCATGCGTGGCCGGCGTCAATGGTGGCAATAAATGTCTAACGCAATGACGTCGGGATTGAGAGAAAAAAAAAAAAAAAAAAAAAAAAAAAACTGAGGGTTGGTTTTGGTTTTAGGCACCATTGCGCCGGCCCGCGAGCTCCCGGACGTAAACGGCGGGGACAGCAGTGGCGACGATCCCATGAGAATATTCATGGCCAACCTGAATCTGGTGGTGCCCGTCGTCGCGGCCGTGCTCGTCATTATCGTGGCGGTCATCGTGATCTGCGTCCTCAAGGGCAAGGATCACGNAAAATTGGCTTGCATGCGCTTCGAGAAAAACGAAATAACCCTTTTTTTGCTATATATAAAGACGAGATCTTTATATGCTACTTATGTATAGATGCATGCGATGATCACCATCTGTTAAATGTGCCCGTATCGTAGTTGTGTTGTAGTAGTGTATCAATTGGTTTGTGTTCTTGTTTTTGTCATTACAGCAAATTCTCACGGCAAGGATACCAAGACAGCCGAAGAAATGCGTAAGCTCATCGAAAGGTTAGTAAATATACCAGGGTATGCGACGAATAATCGCGAGTCACAATATAATGTACATATTATGTAGTCTTCTTACATACTTTCTCGGTCACTTTTCTTTCGTACGAGATTTAATTGTAAATTTTTTTTGGAAATTATAACAAACCATTATCGTGTACCTACGTTGTTGCCGGACAATTGTTTACCACCGAATCAATAAACGCAATTTCACATTTGAATAATACGAGGAGATAAATGTACCTTCGAAACGATGAGCTTAATTATACCAATTGCGTGACTAATATTTATTAACTTGTCCTAACCCATTGAACGTAACGTGTGTGACTAAAATTTGTGACTAAAGGCCAAATAATGTTTTATTGTTACGCCAAAAAAGAGGCTTTCTTGTACTTCTTCAGGTACGAAACCATCATTTACATTAAATATCATGGAAGAAAGCTCTTTTTTTTGTGAATCATCATTACATCACATAAATCACGGGGCAATCATAAAATTGTCAATCATGTAAGTCATTATCATAATCCCACGTGTAATGTACACCCAGTATACGCATGCAATCAACCTCATCAGCTTTTTCGCTTTATTTGGTAAGAGAGAAAAAAAAAAAAAAAATCATTTGGAGTCGAAATTCGCATGCAGCTCTCAATATGCACCTATACGTTGTTTTTTATGTTTGTCACGAGTATATTAATTTTGTATTGCGAGTCACTCCGTTTCATCCATCTCTGAATCATCAATCAGGAAATTACATCACGTGAGTGAAAAAAAAAAAAAAAAAAAAAATTCGCACCAATCACGCGTATCAAATTCTTTCTTTTCTTCATCATAGCATCAACGAGTATCGAGTATAAAAATATTGCTGCAAAGTATAAAAAATGTTTCACAATGTGTCATATGTATAGGGTTGTTTGGCGCTGGTAACTGTGCAACGATCTAACGGCAGCGCTTGTGTGCTCGATTTTCTTTTCCACAGAAACGAAAGCGGGAAGCAAAGCAGCTGCAGTCTCGGGAACCACGCAGGACTCCTCACATCCTACGATACTGTGGCAATGTAATCTGTAAATTTGTCGACTACCAAAAAAACAAAAAGACACGATACCGATCGATCGATCAAACGCCGGTGAGCTTCGTAAGGATATACATATATTTCAGCGGATTTCCTTTAACTGCCATTTTTTTCACTTTTCATCGACGTGTTTTCAGTCCCCTTTTCATCTAATTCTTCTAACCGTATACACATAATATAACATTACGTAAAAAAAAGAAAGAAAAAAAAATTAAATCTACGACGACGACAGAAGGCTGATATTTTACACAAATCGATATCGTTCGCACCATGTGCTGTCATCGTCACTGTTATTACTATCACTGCCAATGTCATTGACATGTATATTATTAAAACTCCGTTACAGGTGAACACCTAGTAAATTATCGATCAAAGAAAAAAAAAAAAAAAAAAAAAAAAAGTCGAGAGATCGAAAAACACACGAGTCAAACGCCACTTGCGTAAAACGATCGTTTTACCGCGAAAGACAATTAATTCACACCGTGGGCCAATTCAACTAGTCAGTAAAATCGACGTTACGTTGAACAGCATCCACACCGGCGCTTCAGTTTCTTCGGAGGCACTTTTCTTGCTATATATATACATACGCTTGTATGTAATCAAAACAAAGCCATCGGTCCCGGAGTTGGCTCGAGTTGCCACTCGAGAATAAATCACGCGCCAAAAGGCCATTCAACAGTAATATAATGGTAGTGATACCGATAAAAGTAATGACGATGAGAAAATATTGGACGTTTTTTTTTTTTTTTTATAATATCCGCGTCGTAAACAGCAGAGGGCTTCAAAAAGATAGCACAAAATATAGGGGGGTCGTGGGGGCGGGAGTAAAATCGTAATCCCTATAACTGTAGCCAAATAAGGGGGGTTCGTCTCATAAGTAGTTATCGTAAATCGTACACTCCAAGTATAGCCGAAAAAAGGCTATACATATATGTATACGTACATATAGTTTTCGCCAGTCCAATTTTCGCTTAGTTAGCGTGTGTGGGGGGCGGGGGGGGGGGTGACGCAGTATAGCCAATGATATAGACGAGAAACAATAATAATATCTCTATCTGATAGTTAAATCTACGTATGATAATATGTGTAGGGTGTAAGAGGGACGCGGACGGTCGCGAGCGAGTGTCCGCACCCTCTCCATGCAATAATTCATATTATACCCGCGAGTAGATGACCTCCCCCCCATGACCCCCCCCCACGTGGGTCGAGCTTTCATGCAACACATCATGTGCTCGACCAACGTGATGAAGGGCGCGTGTAACTTATTGCGGTGCAGAGGCGCGAGTCTCTCGTGTAGTCGTTTTCATGGTAATTAAAAGTTTCTGAATTGCATGAGTATAAATATTATATAATATATTGTAACGTAGGTGTTGTATTTATTAATTGATTCGTTCGTTCGTTCGTTTCTTCGTGATGTGCCATGCTTTCTTTCATCATCGAAAGCAACGCCATAAACCGAAAACGCAAACTATTTACAATGATATATACGTGTGTGCGTGTGTGTTATGATCGTATTAACGAAGAATCGATATCGTTAGTTTCTACGTTGTATTACTCATACCTATACCTCATAAACTTGTATTACTCGCTCTCGAAAGAGAAAAGTCAGTTTTTTTTTTTTTATTAATATCGTTGAACGGGGCTCGTTTTAGTTACTGGACAATGATTATGTTATTGATTAATGTACGTGTCTGCACAGCGTTTTTTTTTTTTAACTGTCCTTCGTTTTACGTGTAATGAACTCTACATGGAAATCAGATAATACGTAGCCACGCGAAGGAATAATATATACCTAAGGCTAACTTAATAGTTAAGTACGTAACTTTTAACATACAATCTTTAAATATGAACGGTATATATAATATATAGGTATAACAGGCTAAGGTAAAACATTTCATTGATAAAGTTTTAAAGATAGTAATAGCCAAAGTATTGACGTACGTATGAACATTGTATGAATATTCAAAGAAACGGGATCTTACTCGTATAATAGAAAATAAACCAATGGCTTCTGCAGTAAATACATATATAATTAGATGAAAATCGTAAGGTTATACTTATACATGAATGGCAAGCAAAGCAAAAACAAAAAAAAAAAACAAAAATCAACAACGTAATGTAATAACATATGATTATTATGAATATTAAATAGAAATTTCCAGTGTGTCTATGGGGTCATGATCGTAATTAGTCATTTTTGGGGTCGGCATTAATTGCACGAGAGTTGGATAAAAGAAGGAAAAACAACAATAAATATAAAAAGCGGCTTTTTGCGTGAATATGTATTTTTTTGCCATTGATCGATCGGTTATTGCGCGATGGGGCAATAACGAGGTGTACGTGATGCAGAAAACCGAGATTAAAAAAAAAAAAAGCAAAGCACGATGTCGGGGTGTCGAGTTGTTAGGCGAATGAACGCGAGAGAAAAAAAGGGTGTGCACAAGAGAGAGAGAGCAAGGGAGAACCGAGGCTTCTTTTATCGTAGGGATAGTGTGTCTATCATTAATTATAATTAATATAACGTATAGCCGCGCCGACAAACTTGTGTCCCCTCCCCCCTTTCCTTTTACGTCTGTTCCGGCTGGAACGTTTCACGTTTAATCAAACCAGTTTAATTACTCCTTACCTAATCAGACCGTCGTCGTATAATAAATATAAATATACAATGCGCTTAAAGTAAACCGTACGTATGGGTATGTATAAGCATCATTTCGATCTTCACATTATCCTTAATAAATATGCAAAAAAAAAAAAAAAAAAAAAAAAAAAAAAAAAAAAAAAAAAAAAAAAAAAAAAAAA